AGCAATAAGATTGAAGCTCTGGGACCTCTTCGTCCTCGCCACTGCGCTCTCTACCTTCCCTGGAGTAGCCGCACTGTGGGGGCCGCCGGGCTGCAGAGGCTTTAGGTGGGTGGACTTACCCGAGGACAAAGAGTGCGGTTTGGCAGTGGCTCACGAGTTGAGCCTGAAGAAAGGCATCTGCAGCGAGACCACCGGAGGCAGATAGTGGCCGAAACCAAGGCTTCGGGGACGAACTTTGGTTTAACGGGAACACCTAAGCCTCCGGAAGGGCGAAACCGGGAAGGAACATCCCCAGTTTTAGCGCGACTTTTCCATCGAGTCGAGAAGAAGATTCAAGCCATCACCGCCCGGGCCCGGAGGGTAAGGTGGGCTAGACGGGGTGGGGACCGCCCCGACGGACGGCTGGGTTTGCCGCTTTTCTTTTTGCGTTTTAACCCCTGCCTGCGCCCAGACTGGGGCTGTATCCCTGCATGTCCCTGGCAGGTGGGTGGGTTTTCCTTTTCTGGGGGGGGTTAGCACTGAGTGCTATTCTTCGCCCAGTCTTTTGTGGCAACCCATATTAGATTGCTTTTTCTTCCCCTTGAAAATATTGTCTTTTCTATCCTCCCCTCCCCATTCTGGGCTGGACGGAGGGGGTAGAGAAGACACAAGTGGGACATTTAAAGGCGACACATTAACTGTGGGAGGGTTGTTAAAAGAGGCCCTTTATACCCACGCATTGCACCAACATCCAGCTGCATCGGGCCCCCCTCCTGTACATTTCCCCTGTTGGCTTCTGTGAAGCTCCCTATGCCCCCATCCCCTCGGACTTTCCTAAACCTTTTCCTATCCTCCCTTGGGGTTTGCTGTGGTCGAGCCGCCCCAAGTGCCCTGCTGGACACTGCTCAAGCCAAGTGCAGTGTACCCAGAACCCCTTTCCAAGATGGCGATGGCCACACTGCTTGGAACCCGCTTTCCTGCCTTGACCTTTTCTTTTCCGCCCCTGGTTTCCCGCCAGTCCCATCTCTCTCCCAATGGCCCTGCACCATCCCTGCATGAGGCTAGTCCCTATTGGGGGAAGCGGGGTTGGATATTCCCCCATCCTTCTTCTGGCTCTTCCTCCGGGGGGAAGGATTGGGAGGGACCTTCTCCCGAGGAAATAGAGTCGAAACCTGGGACTGGGGATCTGTCATCTTGTTTTCCCCCTAAGATGGCGGCATCCTAGTTCACCCCCTATCCTATTCCTTAATGTACCCTACCCAATGTTCCTTTTTATTTAACTACAAATTCCTCTTTTTGCTTTTGATTATTTTTTGAATAATC